CTATGGACAGTGGTTGTATGGCGCTTCCATTATGGCACTGTTCATGCAGGTTTATCAGTCTAAGCCGAATACATATGTAACGAGACTCAGAAGACTATAACGGCATCCGGTAGTGGACAGGATACTGTGCCGCGATTTGGCGGTAAGCCATCGTCTGCAAAGTAACTTCGATAAGCCTTCCGCGTACGGGGACGTTTTGGTTTCGGTTTTGATATTTTATCTTAATGATCCCCGATCAAATGAATTCAGTTAAGACGCAGTATTCACTTGAAGCAAAAAAATAACGGTTCATGCTAAAACAAGAATACAGTTATTATTAATGTCGGTTAATATCGTTTACACACTGCGAACTTGAAACAAATTCCAATGAAATACCTTCCACGTCTTCAAAAGTAACAATGGCTCGTCTTCCACTGAATTCGATGCTCTCTACATCGCCACCTCCAGAATTTCGTTTAGACTGAAAGTATACTGTAAGCTCCGACTCTGTCGTGCCCTCTGGAAATCCAGAGACCAAAATACGCGAACGTTCCATGTGTATTTCTCTGGTCGATCTCAAGGAATGTCCGAGGACATGTTGATTTGAGATCTAGTGAAGCATTGTTTGCTTCTGAGAATGCAGGAAATGTAAATCATTCCAAGAAAGGGGGTTTCCGAATATTAATAAGTTTCAGTTTCACTGAGGCCTGATTGGTTACTAGTTGGTTGCTATGGCTAATGTTGGCCGTTCATTGGCTGGCCACAACTGCACCCTGTTTCTATTGAAACTTTCTGAGAAATGTTGTCATGAGCTTGTTCCCTTTCCACGAAACGGGCACTAGAAACCGAAAATAGAACAACTCGAAAGCATTCAGTTGTCCATGGAGTAACACATTTCATGGTGGTTGGTAGCGTCTTAATCTCGTCCTGCTTCAAAAAGTAACTTTCGGTATCTAGTCGGTCTATTTCCCTTCGAAGCTACGTAATTTGTGCGGGGATTCCCCGAATCTGATCCCTGTTATTTATGCCAACAAGTCTGACTTTGCTTTACGCTTTGTTGTTGAATTCGACAGGCTTCTTCTAGAAACTTCGAAATAGGTAATAGCATTCTTTCTGTCACAAACGGCAAGCAATGGCTTCAGAACATTCAATTCTAAAGGCAATAAACCCAGACGACGCTCGAAGAAGCATTGTTGTGGCGAATATGGCTCCAGGGACCAAAGAAGAAGCTATTTTTATCCATTTTCAGCAGCGTAAACATGGCGGCGGAGATGTGTCGTCAGTGAGGCTCACACAAGATGGAGATAAAGCTGTTATTACATTTGAAGAAGCAGAAAGTAAGTCGATGGATATTTGCACAGATAACTTTATTGCTTATGTTTTATTTTTAGCCAGTTTCTGCGCTTGACGCTTGATTGCGGACGACCTAAACCTTGCTGTCATCAGTCTGCTTGCAGCTATGAATGCATTTTGAGTTGTTTTCGACGAGTTAACCTTTGAAATTCATGATAAATCAAGACATTACAGACACATGTTGGCGCCGAAGCAGTTAATAAAATTAAGCGAGAGGTGTTTATACGTATTCAGACTTCAACTTCTCCAGTCGCGTGCTAATCTATAACCAAGCACTGTTTTATATAAAGCATTGTTGAGTGTCTTTGTTGAAGTGTAATCAAAGTTGGGCAAAGGCCTGCATCGAAGCACTCTTGATGATGAATTAAGCTTACCCCCTTTGCGAATCGAGTTTACTCAGTATACAGGAGTTGGAGTTTATAACATTTATTTATGTA